CCATGCAAAGAGGAGCAAAGCCCCGCCCTTATGGGTGAACGTGACTCCAGATAAAAGAGTCCAGGAAAGCCAAGGATGGACTACTCCAACTCCGCCCACATCCAAGTCGGCCATTTTGATTAGGTCACGAACAGGAAGATCCCAGGCAAGAAAATGCTAATTGCTTCATGGCAATATAGACATTAATTCTAAAATAGTGAAATGAATCTTGCAAACACTGAATTAAAGTCTATACATAATATTATGTTTAAAATAGTGGATGTTAAATAGGTTTATACAATAAGTCCAAACAAAATGAACCAAAAAATATTTATTTCTCACAATTATGAAGGCTGGAGGGTCAGGGTTAGGGTTAGGTTTAGGTTTAGGTTTAGGGTCAGGGTTAGGGTTAGGGTCAGGTTTAGGGTTAAGGTTAGTACATCGTTTATCTTCCCATTTCATATAGACAGTAAAGTTTTGTTTCCACCTCAGAGGGCCGCAAGTCACATGACCTAATCAAAATGGCCGACTTGGATGTGGCAGGAGTTGGATATCCAACACAGGTTTCCTTTTACAACTCGCCATCCCAACTGGATCCATGTGCTGCGCCGTTAGTGGTGGAAACAGAGCCCCTGTGTGTGTGTGTGTGTGTGTGTCTGTGTGTGTGTCTGTGTGTGTGTTGGGGTGCGTTGTGTAGCTGGTGGCGCTAAGTGGGAGCCGCTCCTCAAACACTGTTTTGGGAAATCTCCGACACTCGCAATTACGCGTCCACTGATCTCACAACCGGTGATTAGAATTAGAGCCGGGCCGTAATAACAGAGCCCGCTGTCCAACATAAAACACACACACACAGCTGCCCGGACCCATTGTTCCTCCAGGTGCACAGAAAAGGAGTCTGCAGTCTGTAGGAGCCTCGGTTGGATATCCGACTCCTCCCACATCTAAGTCGGCCATTTTGATTAGGTCATGTGACTAGCAGCTTTCTGAGGTGGAAACGAAACTTTACTGTCTATACGAAATCGGAAGAGAAACGATGGCCTAACCCTAAACCTAACCTTAACCCTGACCATAAACCTTACCCAAACCCTGACCCTAACCCTAACCCCTAAACCTAACCCTGACCCTAACCTTGACCCTAACCCTAACCCTAACCCTGACACTTACTGTCTTTATTGACATGAGGCAATTACGATAATGATTAATGACTACTGGTAACGAGGTTTAAAAAGAAACGTCACAGAAAATAACGTGAATGCAGTTTTTTATGCTGTATTTAAAACTTTCTACGGTAAATACATTTTACAGACTGAAAATAAACCATCAAAGTGCAAAGTTTGCCCTTAATATTCATATTTTTACTTTCACTTCGTCAAGCTGCCAGCGGGTTGAGACGATTTTCTTGCCGTCGGTTAGTAGAAAACGGGCTCTTCCTATTGGTGACCTAATCAAAATGGCCGACTTTGATGTGGGCGGAGTTGGATATCCATCCTTGGCTTCCTACAGACCCGCAAAAAAGTGCACGCCGTGCCAGTTACCACTGGTTTCCACTGGGAAATGAACACAAAAACCTGTTCCGGTGAAGAAATTCTCCTATGAAAAACTACACGTTTCTCCATGTTTCTGCTCCATGTGGCGGCTGGTTAAGTGATCAGAGCTGTTTATGTTGAAAACAGGCTATAAATAGATTCTTTGGACTCTGTTTTAATTCAATTTTTGCATTTTTTCCCCCTTGCTTCTGCCCTTTGAGCTGCTCTAACCACTGAATGTCCCCACTGTGGCGCCATTAGAGTTGATCTGCTTATCTGGTCGATTCATTAAAAAGGGAGGGAGTGAGTTCCTGGTCTTTGAGGAGATCTCTGGACGGTTTACGAGCCCGTGTGTGCGGGCGGTTTTCCTCGGACGTGAACTCGGTCCTTTGGGTGCTGCTTTCCGGGTCAGCCGTGAGCTTCCCATGACCCTAACCCTAACCCTAACCCTAACCCTAGCATGGTGGTGGAGTGGACGTCTCCCTCTCGGCCTACAAAACCCGAGGAACCGCTAACACCCTGAAACTGGAACCTGACTTGACCGATCCCCGGCGTCCACATCAGTGGGTCGAACCCCGGCCAATGGCGTCACGGCTCGGGATCGTCATGGCCACAGCGTGAAACCACAAACCCAAAAAAGATTGGGAACCTCCTTACAACGTCAGCTCTGTAAACACTTACAGTTTTAGACTTTCGTCTCCATTTTTTCCCCCTGTTCAGCATCATGAGAAGTAGAAGGAATTTCTGACTAGCATAATTGTGCCAGACAGATTTGTAGATATTTGTAAAGCCTTCCTTGCTACCCAACCCTTGAGGGTTTATTTATTACTAGTGTGTTATATATATTCTGATCCCAAACATGACTGGGGAGAGACAAAGAGAGAAAAACCGGGGGTGCAGAGTGAGGGGGAACATATAAAAGAAACATCCATCCATCCATTATCGTAAACCCTTATTCCCTAATGGGGTCAGGGGGACTGGAGTCTATCCCAGTGGTCAGTGGGGAGAGGCGGGGTCCCCCTGGGCGGTCCCCAGTCCATCACAGGGACACACAGAGACACACAAGGACCAACAACCACACACACTCACACTAAGGGCAGTTTGGAGTCCAGCCAACCTAACATGCAGGTTTTTGGACGGTGGGAGGAAGCCGGAGAACCCGGAGAGAACCCACAGACACAGGAGAACATGCAGAACCACTCAGAAAGGTCCTGGTTCCCCCGGGACTCCAACCCAGAACCTTCTGGTCCTGGTTCCCCCAGGACTCCAACCCAGAACCCTCTGGTCCTGGTTCCCCCCGGGACTCCAACCCAGAACCTTCTGGTCCTGGTTCCCCCAGGACTCCAACCCAGAACCCTCTGGTCCTGGTTCCCCCAGGACTCCAACCCAGAACCCTCTGGGACTCATGGCAGACAGCTTCCAGTATAAAAAAAACAATATAACCAAAGTTAGTTGGTGTCAGAGTTGATTGGCTCAGATAACATGTTGTGATTTGTAAAGTGTCCATTTCCGATGGACAGATGGACTTCTCTCAGCGTTCGTGTGGGTCTGAACTCAGAGTTTGGTCCCTTTCGGGGGTGTTGGCTCCACCTGTGGGGGGCTTCTCCTTCACACCTGCAGCTCAGGCCCAGATTCCTATCAGACTCTGAGCAGCCAGGCGTGTCGCCGGCTTCCCTCCGCTTATCCTCTCCAGTGTCAGTTTTTATCATCGGCTCTTTGATTCTCCTGGAGTGTTCACCTTAACCAGACAAAAGGGAGCCTCGGCTTGATATCCAACTCCTCCCACATCCAAGTCGGCCATTTTGATTAGATCATGTGACTAGCAGCTTTCTGAGGTGGAAACTAAACTTTACTGTCTATACGAAATCGGAAGATAAACGATGTCTTAACCCTAAACCTCACCCTGACCCTAACCCTGACCCTAACCCTAACCCTGACCCTAA